TCCTATTTTACTGTAAATTTACGCAGACATTTTTTCCAATGGGAAATAAATTGCTTGTAAGAATTTCATTTTAGTACAAAGGGAAAGCTGTATTATGTGTTAGGCATGGTGAATCTTTAAAAAAAAAAAAAAAAAAAAAAAAGTAATTTTGCAGAGCTAGATCTTCTATCTGGGATATTAAAACCAGCTAAAACTATGTCTATTTCTGAAAACAAAAAATACTCATCTTCTCATTTGATAGTCTTTGTGGACTTGTTTTGATCCAAAACTTCATAATTTGTTTTTCTTTTTTCTGAAAGAAAACACAAAACTAATGACATTCACATCAACGTTCAATGCAGATTTGTGTGGCAAAGAATGTATGAAAATGGGTTTAATCCATTCATTTGTTCATCCAAAACACTTTTGACTGTAGAGTAAGAAGTTTTAATAGAAAGTTTGAGACTCCTTGAAGCTGTTGCTCAGGCAAAACCTTTCTAATGCTTGCAAGAACCATCCAGACAAAATTCAAAGAAGGCTGTGTTTAAAGCGCATGTAAAGTTTTCACTGCCTCTGCTTTACCTGCACTACAATACAATTTACAATAATCAGCTCCCTTGAGGTCAGGAGGGCTTCTTTGATGATGGATTCACTTCTTCAATTTCAACTTTTCAAAAAACTGTGCAGCAGCACATTTGGCCTCTGTGAAGATTCATGTAAGGCTGGTACTTTAAAAACAGGAAGATGAGCAAGAAGAGAAATGTTCTCAAAATCTTGCCATTGCTAACCTTACTCCAAATGGGTGAGACAGGGAAGACAAAAAGTACTGTCTCTGTGCTGTGCAAAAGACACTGTTACTCATCTTTGCTAAATTTGCACTTTGCCTCTCATTTCTCATCATCACAGCTGCTTGCTCTCAGCATGGTGTTGGTGAATGCCACATGCAGCATGGCACAGTAATAATGAGAAATAAGCTACCAGGGGAAAATTATTCAAAATCAGTTTGCAAATGAGGTGGTGAATGCAGAGGGTCACTTGGAGGTGGGGGGTTCACAGGAAAAGGCCAATTCTTTTTTCCTTCTTGGAGCTGTGAAACATTCAAGTGCCAGTGTCCTGGGGGTGTTGAAGAGACTTTTCCAGAAGTTTCACTCTCACTTTACTTCGTCTCCCAATGACTGCATCCTCCCTCTGTCCCTAATCCCCCAGAGCTCCCACCCCCAAAATACCTTTGCACAATTCTTGCCCCCTGTAAGGAACAAGAGTTTTGTCACCCACTCCCACACAGCTGGAACTGCACCCCAAGGAACAGCACAGCACAGCACTTTTCCTGCCACCTTTTTGTCCTTTTCCCCTCCACACAGGAAAACTAATCAGCACCTGTGGTTAACCAAAGAGTTTGTATTTGACTAATCAAATCTCTTGCAAGCAGAGAAGCCAGAACCTTGAATTGTTTAATAAGGCTAAGAAATAATTACTGGCTAGTGGCCTAATATAGCATAAAATAAACCCGTTAACTGCTGGCTTACAAAATATCCTGGCATCTGTGTATGATGAGGAAGAACACAGTTGTCAGAAGATTCAATTTTCTTCCTTCATGTACAAAAAGAGTAATTAGGACCAGCCCTAACCAGGATGATATACTGACCTCTGTCCCTGCCCAGCATTGTTTCTATGTGCTAAAGAGACACTTGTAGTTGTCTTCTACCAATATTCCAGCAACATGCTTCTACTTAGTGTAGAGGCTGTTGTTGTTGACAAAGGACACACAAAAGACATCCCTATCATGTGAAAAACATTGTGCAGTAATACAATTTTGGAACAGATGTTATAGAAAGAATTTAAAACATCCATGCAGGTAGACATGATGGCTGCATATCCTCTCTCTGCTTTAATCAAATATTCCTTGTAAAGTCTTCAAGGAAATACAGGTCAAACAATCACCCCGGATTGTTTCATAAAATTATTATATTCTTATAAAACTTACAATCCCGCTCTTAAATATGCTTACTGCTTTAGACAGTATTTCCATGAAAGAGGTGGTCTGGATTACGTTTATTTAAAACTGTTCAAGACAAAGGAATAACACAAGCTGATTGTGGGGTCTGTTCTAAGTCCAGCCTGGTCTCCTCAGCACTTTCAGGAGAGATCCTCATTCTTCCCAGGCACCAAAGGTATACCAAGACCCAGCTGGTTTGTCAGCACCCTGAAGGAAGGGCTGGATCTTGCTGGATGCTGTGCTCTCCCAAATGCCATTGGTTCAATGAGCCAGGAATAGTCTTCAAGATTTTACTGGGCTGATCTTAAATTGGACCAAGCAGTCTGCTTCTGTGGGGAAGCTGAGTTAATGACTAGGTCCCAGAGTAATCTGGGAAGCTGGCAGAGCAGACAAGGTCACACAGCATTCAGCTGAGCCTGGCTTAGAGTTTGCAAGCAGAAAAAATGACCCCTGGCTCACCAGTA